ACATTTTAGAACCATATCGTCCATTTCGTGGCCAAGGATACGGTAGAAAATGTAGGGCGGCAAAACATCCGAAAAATCCTCCGAAACACTTGCGATAGCCTTCTGCATACGATCAAATGGAGTCGACTTCCACTTAAACTCAACCGTGTAAGTAACTGCATTTGTAGGTGGTTCGGAGACGTGCTTCATTTCAACGGCTACTTCGTCCGAAAAGTCTAAAAAACGGAGACGGATGTGAGAGAAAATTTTAAGAGAACACTAACCACATCGCATAAGGAGAAATAAGAGCTTGGTTTGGTAAAAAGTTTTAACACTCGGGACAGCTCAAGTACGGACGTTGAACCACGGTGTTCCCTCGATGACTGGAGTGTTTCATGGAAATGTATAACCAAGTCGTTGACAGTCTTGCAAAGCGACTCATTAAAGATAAAGTTATGATAAGAAAGTAATACTGATGATTGATATCATATGTATACAGATCGGTGGATCAACGGATCAGATGGGTCACTACCTAATGTCTTTAGCGTTGTACAATTACCTAAGACATGATGGATCTCCCAAGAGTGCATACAGCAAAATGGACTTGAACATATGCTGGGTAACTAACGAACTATACCAATCGAGCCTAGCTACAACATCGTTTGCATATCAGTGCATTCAGGAAGGCATAAAGCATAAACCACGGAAATACACTTACTGTCGGGGATCTTTATAACATGTCCCGTGATACTCCAACTTTCTTCGGTGTTGGTTTGATGACGCACGATCAATTCATCACCATGCATTATCCTTAACTCGGGGCCTATAAAAGTCAGATAACAATCTTATTGGTACCTTCATTGGCTCCAGGAATCCGAAAATAGGCAACTTTCTTCGTGTTTAGAGCAGTTTCCCATCGGACGATCACATTCTCCAGTTTGAGTGATTCCTTAATTTTTTTATCATAGGCCGCCTCCAGTTCAACCAGAGGCTTAAACGTTTGTTGGTAGTGGTAGGAAGAATCGTACCTTAGAAATGTAAAAAACTTTTCGGTTCCCTTACCGTAAAAGGATAGGCTCAACTTCTTTTTCTATACCCGGGCGTTCAAGATCACTCACTTCCGCCAGCGGATTTTCCTTCCACAGTTCTTCCAAACGATTTATTTGTTGGGCAGATATTTGACGAGCTTTCGCCTGCTCCTCTTCGCTCGGAACTTTGACTAGCCAGGAAAGGAACTGTCTGCCCTGAATCAATGGCTGCCACTGGCTTGGATCCCAGTGCATGTCTTTGTTTTGATTCGCACAAGGGTGGCGACATAGAAGGACAACAACGGATTCTGATTTTGCAGGCACAAATCCCAACAAGAAGACGTTTTTGGAACCACACACATAGCACTCCAAGACCGTGTCCTTTAAAGGGCTGTCTTTGTGAAGCGAAACTTCCTTTGATCTGGAACGAACTAAATGGTTGACGATATGACTGCAATTGCAGTTCGAGATACACAACAAGCATACCTGCCGGAAGTATTTCCCCTGCTATTACAAAACCATTTCTTTGTAGTATTGCAATAAACGACGGCTGCGGGGTCACTGATTCCACAATAGGCGCAGGCGTGTTCGGGCAATTCCTCGCCTATCGTAACAGCGTCGTCATCGGGAGCATTCAATGCTATGGACTCAACGGCCGTTGCCAGCCTGTCAACATTATTTTCTACCGGATCAACCTA